CAAAAATAACTGAGGCTTAAACTTTATCTTTTTCTTAAAGACATTTTGAATGTTCCACCAAATCTTTATCCAAAATGCTTTAACCGCCCTACAAGTCCACCACACATGAAAATAAGTTGCATCTAAATTTCCACATCTCCAACACTTAGGTTGTAAATTAGAATACATACGAGACAATTTTTGAGGATCTAAATGCCATATATCAAGGTTGAATTGCTAAGATGCTTGCTAACCTCTGTCGCTACTCAACTTGCCATAGAAACAGTGGGGAGGGAAGGTCTGGGAAGGAAACAGGAGTTTCAAGAAGCTGTCCATAGACCATGAGACCCAAGGTCACAAAAAGAGATGTCTGGTACAGAGAAGTGGACTATTCCTATAACAAACTGAAGAAATGTGATTGGGCAATGTGGACACTTGGTGGGTGGACGTTACGAAAAGCTATTGTCAACTAACCAGATTTTTGCGTGGGAAAACTAGAGTTCAATTTGCTTCTTCAGTACTGAGATGTGTATTCAATAAAATTTATCTTTTATGGCATTTCAAAGTTGTAAAGATCGCTCAGTGTTGAATTCGCTAGCCAGACAGTTGACAGAACCCAAGGTCAGTTTTGGAAATAAAGACTGAGTCTGGAGTTCACACTTAAATTTTGTTTAAAATTAGAATAATAAAAGTTAGAAAAGTAAAAATGGACCCTGACTGGCACCTAGAAATCTATCCATGGGACTCTGGTACCTACATGTGCTATGTTTAGAGGACATTTGTAACTTGGCTAGCAGAAAAGAGTGGCTAGCTTCTTTCTGCATGCTGTGTCTCATGGCCAGTGAATGTTGAATCTATTTCCATCTTCCTACTCTCTCCTGGCAGACTGGATGAGGGAGAACAGAAGGCTAGCTTCAATTTTCTTGCTTGCTTTTGCTTGAATTCAAAAACAGATCTTCCGCTGTGTAAAGGCAAAGCACCATGTGGCCGTGCATCGCACAGGAAAGGCTGTTTCTTCTGCAGCAGGTGGAACAAGAAATGACAGACAAAAACTCATGTTCTCGGTTTACAGACCCACCCCCTTTTTTTCGTAGAATCGTGTGGTCGTGACGGGGTTTTTAAGGTGTGTTAACGTCCGATCGAAGGGAAGGCTATTTTGAGGCTTGACTTGTGAAAGGGAATTAACGTGTGGTAACGAAAAACCTGAAGAGGAGGTTTCTCACAACTATCGTGGAAGGTTATGAAGAACCTATAACTTCCGCAAATTTGCCAGCAGAACTTAGCTCTTATGCTGAGTTTGAAAACGGGCTCAATCTATCTTCAAGCCTTTTTGCCTGGTTCAAGAAGAGAGTTGGATATAGAGAAGGACTTTGGAAGTGTTTTAATTAAAGATTGCAACTGGAGGCCCTTAAGAATCAGAAGAGATGTGGGACTAGGGTAAGCATTTTAGTGGAATGTAATGCAACTGCCTTGTGCAATTGAAATTCTTATCCTATGAGAGGATTGTGTAAAAATGGAATAACTAAACCAGAAAACTTTTCTTCCAAGTGTTTTCACCTGGCCCTCAGGGAGCAGGTAATCCTTCTTATGATTCTTCTGGTTCAAGCATTGTTCAGACAAGCAGCATGATGCCCCCCTACCTCTTTGTTGTTCTTTTTTAAACTAGTCTCTAGCTATAATGGCAGAGCAGCTTTTTTGATGGGTTCCCTCTAAAGTCTGAATCCTAGCTTTTGACCAGTCAGATAAACAAGAGTTTGTGAGGGATATGTCTTTATAACAGAACAAGTCCCAGCTACTCTACTTCTGACTTCATGCTTTGTTCAACTGGATCTGTCTACTTACGAAAACACTGTGGGATTTCTCCATTCCATGATCCGTTTCCTTCGCAGGTCAAAACAGCAGCTAAGGAGAGCTGATAGCCTTCCAGACAGGTGTAACTGATACTTGAGCCCCAACTGAAATCTGAGCCCATGACTCTTCCATTGGGAACAATTTGTGGAGATTTGCAGAGGATAGCTAGGGAGAAAAAGTCACACTGAACTCAACAAGAGACCCAGAAGGTTAGCATTCATGTTCCAGGGTTTCTATCATTATCTCGTGAATGTGATCTCTACATGTTGTAGGATGTTGTTGTCATTGCTGCAAATCTCCTTCTTCAATGGGCTAGAATTCACAGATGTTGCCCTCTTCTTATTTGGGGAAAGACATAAATAAATGTTGCCGAAATACAGATGGTAATTAAATAAGGCCACAGCATGCAAGTAACTGTATAGCAAATTGGCCATCTGTACCACCCAGGCATAAAGTAGAGGAAATTTTAAACATGCTTGTACAGCCAATCAGAAATACTGGCATGAAGGACATTAACACTATGCACATCACTAGACAGGATGATCTTATAGACTCTTTAGAAGCCATGTGCTTTCATGTGAAACCAAGATTGAATATGGCTTCTGAATATATATGGCTTCTGAATCCATCTCTAATCCAAATTTCTTCAGAAAGTCTCAGATTATTCTTGACACCAATCCTTTCTGGCTTTTTCATTGACCACATGGATTCAGAATAATGTGCAGTGGTGGGATTCAGCCAGTTCGCACCAGTTCGGCAAAACCGGTGGCTAATTTTTTGTTGCCCAGGCGCAGAATGGACTTCCGGAAGCGGCATCCACACAGAGAACCGGTTGTTGACATATTTGAATCCCACCACTGATAATGGGAGCATGAACAGAATTGGGCATTCAGGATTCTTTAAAAAAAAACAACCTTGTGGCTAAAGAAATTGGTGGGTAGTTTTTATCAGATTTTTCAAGGGGAAGAAAGGTTTCTACTACAATTTCTTAAAAACAAAACTCTCCCACCCTTCCAGCAGTAATATAATGCATTCTTTTGAGATCTTGGACGGAAGCATGGAAAACTGTACTGGAGCAATTACACAACAGTGAAAGACAGGATACACATACACAGCCCTCCTTTGCTTGCTCACCTAGTGCAGGTATGCATATCCTGCCTATGAGACATTCTCCAAGCTGTCCTTTCTAAGACTAATTCTCCTTAAACCAAGTGAAAAAGTGAGGGAGTGAGGAGAAAAAAAAATCTCCATCTGGATTTTGTGACTTATCCTTATCATCCTAATCATCCTTATCATCCTTATCCTTATTCTTATCTGGAGACTACCTGGCTGGGAAAAATTCCTCTAGACCAGGGATGGGCAACTGTGGTCCCTTTATGACCTTTGGACTTCAACTCCCAGAATTCCCCAGCCACACTTCTTCAAGTCACTAAGGTTGAGAAACACAGGTGTAGACTATAGAGAAATCCCACATGTGCTTTAATGGGTGATTAAATTGGCCTTACCTTTGCAGACAGGTTTTGTCCCATTCCAGGTCCGGTCCTTAGTGCAAGTTAACGTAGAAGCTCTTTCTGATTCCATCATGTAACCTGGCATGCACTGAAATGTGACAGTCTTATTATAGGTGAAGTCATTGCCCATTCGGATGCCATTGGCTGGCACGCCAGGGTCCCCACAGTTTATCACTTGGAAAAAGAGAAAAGGAAGATCAGCTGCAGATCTCAAAGGCAAGGTTGCAGAAATAGTTGCTGGCAAACAAAACAACAGTATTGTTTTGAAAGGAAATTCTTACAACAGCCCTCAAGTTCAAGACATTATTCTCCCATGGCGAAGCTTAATGACAGCAGGAAGTAATTAGCCATCTTATTCCTAAACAGTGTGATGGCTAGGTGTGTATCAGGTCCCTTTCCAAATGGAAATATTGCAAGTCTATTTGCTACCTGCAAAATTAGGCCAAGGGCTTCGTGATTTCTACTGTGATTTACAGGAGTTAAAAAACACAGAAATTCCTTCATAATTCTGATCTGTGAGTGGTTATCTCCTCCGTGAAAAAAATTCAATTCCGGTTAAAAGGGGAAAACAGATTATCTTGTTAATTATAGACCTATTAGCCCTCTTAACACAGTTGATGCAGGACATCTACAATGGAATTTTCAGGACTGGCTAGAACAAGAAAACTTGCTGACAAAAGGGCAGGCTAGTTGATCCACTATTGATCAGTGCCTTACATTTGAGCACCGCATTAGACAAATACTTCTCCTGCAACACAACCTCTCTTTATGTTGCTTTTAGAGATTTCAAAGCAGCATTTGATGCTATCTCCTCAGTTAAATTATGCGAGAAGTTAGAAGCTTCCTTGACCAACCAGCGTTGACTTTATCTAATATCTATGCTGCAAAAAGGCATATTACTCAAAGACAGTTGTAGCCACCAGGGCCATCTTATCCAATGTTACTGAAACCAAGAAAAGTATTAAGCAAAGCTGCACATTAATCCTTCTCCTATTCAACTATTACATTAATTTCATAATATAATTTCATTACATTCATTTCACTCCCTCCACTATGTAGACTTTCTTTCCCTGAAGAGATATTTCTGTTCTATTCTATGCAGATGATCCAGGGATACATTCAATAATGTCTGGTGGTCATGAAAGAGCACTTAGCATATGATCATAATACCAACTAAAACACAATTATCAGTAAGCTAACATCATGGGATATGTCAAAAGCCTCAAGAACCTTTTCATGGAACATATATGGCCACAAGAATCAAATAATTGAGGACAGTTTATCATTCTGCTGTCAGCTGGAAGCTCCATGGGAACTTGCTGAAAATGCACAGAGGAATTCATCTGCCGTCCTTAAATACTATAAGGCAAGAAATGGCTATTATATACCCATAATTCTCAAATTATTTGATGCCATGCCATTAGCACAGCTTCTCTATTTGCCCAACTGGATCCCTTTTCCAGTTTCACACTTCTAGAATTTGTAATCCAGATTTCTAAGAAAGATTCTTCAAGTGTCTCTACTGCCACTTTGTACCTATAGATGGGCTTCATGAAAATGGAGGGTAGAGTGTCATTGCTAACATCTTCCTTTGACCAACTCACCTGTGCATTCTGGGGTACTCCCGGTCCAGGTTCCATTGACAGTACAATGCCTGCTGAGCACACCTGTGGAATAATAGCCATCCCGACACTTGTATATGATGGAGCTGGAGAACACCAGGCCGTCATTGAATAATACCCTTGAGTTGCTGGGTGTCCCAGGGTTCCCACATGAGATCACTGCAATGAGTAATGAAGCTTCAGTCAAAAGAGTGCAACAATAATTTTGGCTATGAAGCATCTGCACTAACAGGCAGATATCAATTCAGAGTTAGAGAAATCTGATTTTCTACTCTCTGTTGGGACTTGCAACAGTTATCCAAGATGCTGGGCAGAGAAAGATCCCATCCCTGATTCTACTTCCTTACAATTAAAGGCTGCAGATGGAACTCTCAAGGGTGAGGCAAGGGCTCTGCACCAAGTCATAGTGATGAACACTGCTGGGCTGCTGTCCGTACATCCTTGAGCTGACAGAAAATTACACCAGCCTGCAATTAACTATCGCCATTACCAACCCTCTTCCTATTGCAATGCCTTTGTTTCAAGTCACTGCAATCTTCTAACTTCTCTTCAAAGTAATGGGTTTATTACCCTTGAACATTGTAACAATTAAAGTATGCACATGTGTGTTGGGAAGAACATGACTTTAACTCTGGTACAGCTAAGAGTGGCTTAATTCTAATTCAGGTCAGGACAACGTCATGGAAAGATATTGCAGGAAAAAAAGCTAAAAGCAAGTGGAGAAAGGCCCCAGAGTACATCTCCTTTTAAAACAGGTTTGGAAGTCCCATCCTGGGTGAGAATTCTGGCTTTTCTGTTTATAGGATATCTGGAGAGTGCCAGGATGGGGAAGATTGAAAATCCTCCCATGGTAACGAGGGTTGGATGAATTTCTTGAGTTACAATCCTAAATATACATATTGAGAAATAAAAGCCATCATTTGGAGTGTGATGGACATCTCAAGAGGGTTGAGCTATGGGGCACGTTTAAAGCATCTAACCATATGGTAGAATGTGCATAAACAAACCGAATCCCAGGTTTTCACACTTATCTCCTATTGAATATTGCATTCTGTACTCAACTGTTTTTTTCCCTTTAAGTATGCTATAAAACAGGGGTCCCCAACCCCCAGTCTGTGGACCAGTATTGGGCCACGGCATGCCAGCAACCAGGCCACACAAACAAGCAAAGCCCCATCTGTGAAATGCATGCAGCACACAAAACCACGTACCGTCCGGTCCACGGAAAAACCTCTCTCCATGGAACCGGTCCCTGGTGCCCAAAAGATTGGGGATCTCTACTATAAAGCATTGTGAAATATTTCTACAAAAATACAAGTTGGTACTTTGCATGGATATGTTTTTGTTCCATAAACTGTATACAGTTCCTTTAAGTTAGGCATCGTATTAGATTCTCCATGACAGCCAACAGAGTTTTTAGTGTCATCTCTTCCTATGAAGTCAGCATTCTCCTCAACAGAACAAAGGCAGATCATTCACACAAACAGATTTTAGTGCCAACATGTGCAAATTTAAAAGTCTCCCCCAAAGGGAAAAAAAAATGCACAGCCTCTCTAGAAGATGTGGTTTTTTCAAACTCCCTGGATCTTAAACGGGTAACACCATATAAAAGGAATTTATATCTATATAAATTTGCATAGATGAATTTGCTGTTATCTCCTCAATTAAATGGATGTACTAAAACAGCCGTTTCCCTTGGAGATTCATTTGCCTAAGATCCAACCTGTTATTCTGACACCTCTTCTGAATTAATGGTCTGAGGCTCCCTGCCGCGTTTTCTTTGCCATTCAATCAATGGCTCAATTCCATTAAAAGATTACAATGTCTTTGCTGAAATTCAGCTTTGGAACAAGTTGCAATGGAATGTCTTTTCAAGTCCTTGTTTGTGAGCTGACAATTCCACACCATTTTTAATAGCTGTTCACAGTTTGCTTGAAAGACAAGAGAAATGGTGGGATGATGGAATGGATAAGAGCAATATTCAAGGAATGGGATGGGATGGTCACACCTGCTTAGACAGAATATGGGGCATTTAATAAACAAGGAACTATCCTGCTAGTATAGGCCTTTTGTGTCCCATTCAAAGGGTTTAGTTTTAAATTTAAAAATTATTTGTAGAATCCTTGGGCCATAAAAAAGGCTGAGCGCCAAAGAATGGAGGCCTTTGAACTCTGGTGCTGGAGAAGACTCCTGCGAGTCCCCTGGACTGCAAGGCGTTCAAACCGGTCAGTCCTAGAGGAGATCAACCCTGACTGCTCTTTAGAAGGCCAGATCCTGAAGCTGAAACTCAAATACTTTGGCCACCTAATGAGAAGGAAGGACTCACTGGAGAAGAGCCTAATGCTAGGAAAGATGGAGGGCAAGAGAAGAAGGGGACGACAGAGAAGGAGGTGGCTGGATGGAGTCACTGAAGCAGTAGGCGTGAGCTTAAATGGACTCCAGAAGATGGTAGAGGACAGGAAGGCCTGGAGAAACGTTGTCCATGGGGTCACCATGGGTCGGACACGACTTTGCAACTAACAACAAGAATCCTTGGTCTTCTCTGCACTTGTTCGCTTGTTTGCAGATGCTTCATTACCCAAGTAACTAACATCATCAGTGCTAAAGAGAGTAAAGTTTGCTCACACTCAGCCGCTCATTGCAAACTCTGTACACTTTCTCCCACTCTGTACACTGCGCAGTCATCCCACCACTGACCAGCACTGATGATGTTACCTAGTTGGGTAATGAAATGTCTACAAGAAAACAAACAAGTTCAGAGAGGCACCAAGGATTCCACAGTTGTAGGATTCTGAGCTACAAATATCATCTTCTATTGAAAAAAAACACACTTATTTTCAAATGCAATCAGAGGTAATGAAACATCATGGCAAACTGGCTGTGAAAAGAGAACTATTTTTTACTATTTTTACAAACTCTTTGCTCTTCACTCCAGCCCTGTTTGGTGCCAAGAGGAGAATGGTAAAAAACAACAACAAACTTTCCTCTGGTTTCTCTGTGTATATGTTTGCTTGTTTTTGCTTGAATGCCAATTTTCATTTTAAACCTCGCTGGAAATTAAAGCTAAACGAAGCCTGACTCTTCAGTCTGGTAAGAGGATCCTGCAATGTTCCGTCGAATACAGCGTATTTTGCCTTTGCGGTTGTGTCGTCTCGCGATTACTTTACGTTAATTAATCGAACGAAGTAAGGTTTGGTAAACACCGGAAACTTTATAACTAACCCCAAGAAACCATTTTTTTTTAGGGAGACTTACAAATACTAATACCCCGCTTCCTTTTTTTTTCCGAATTTTAATTGTCAGCCTCTGGAGAATAAACACTGCTGGGTTTTTTTGCTGCCAAATGAACCAAAGTCAGCCGAAGCATATGTCTGCTATTTCTCAGTCTCAGAGGCAGAGGTGAGCCACCCAAATGTGTGGACAGCAAGGGATTACACTGGAGAAAGAGTGTTCCTCAGAGTCCAGCTAAAGATTATGCTTTGTGCACAAAAATCCACAAATCTCTGAAGCAGAGAGCTCGATATGTAACTATCCCAAGCCTGGAGAATGAAACTGCAGCCTTTTAAAGATCAATGGATACTATGCTACTTGGAAACTTCTCTGTGGCTTTTGGGGATCATAATGGAGCCGATCCTGGTTACAGCACTTCAAGCATCGAAAACGGGTGTTGACTGAATCACACGAGGCTGGGTTGATTGTCAACTTACACCTTTCTTTGTAGGGTTGCAGGACTGAAACTAGAACACAGGGACAGGTTATCCGTGGGATTCCCTAAAGATTTGTACCCATCCTACCATATCGTACTGGGTGGGCATGTTACTAACTTCTTCCCTTAAAGATTGCCATCTTATGGAATCTAGGAAATGTGCCTTTTCCACTTTTCCTCCTGCCCTATCAAGACCCACCCCCTTGAGGTTCGGCGGGCCTCTACTCTCCCAGTCACCCCAGAAGCATTTAAGAACTGGCTTTACTGGGATACAGTGATATGGATGACAGGATTTAATGAGGTACACCGCGTGAAAGCTTAACGTTTGTGCTGGGTTTTTAATGTTTATGGTTTTAATAAATACATAGTATGTATTAATTTGTTTCATTGTTGATATTGTTCTAATTGTTGAGTGGGAGCCATGCAGACTTTTATAAAAAAAAAATTGGCAGCTCTATAAATGTTTAAATAAAGTAAAATGAATTTTTTTTTAAACCTCTTAAGCAAGACACTGGAACAAAAGCAACTTTTGACTTCCCACCGGCTTCCCCATTGAGTTGTCATGGGCAAAGCTGCAGGAGCACTGGAAATCTTTCTTCCCTTCCCTTCCCTTCCCTCCTCTCTCTTAAACTCAAATCAGTTTACAGCATTGGTCTAGAAAACCAAAGTATGCAGCGTAATTGACGTTCAAGACTCATTTAGTTTTTGAACGATATACTAGAAGGATCACATTTCAAAATGTAAGTGGATCTAGGACAAAATGAAACAAAAAAAAACTTAATTAAAATTCAGTTCACTTGATGTAATAATTTTCCCCATCTGCCACACTGACAGTTACAATTTGCTGCCAATTTTGGAGGAAGTCTGGAGGCTTCACGCAGCGCTTCAAGGAACAGCATGCAGCGTTGAGACCTCAGGTTCTCCACCTTTGAGCATGCAAGGAGAAAATTGCCTCAGGAAACAAATACCGAGAAGTATGGTGATGTAGTCTTTGGGGAGAAGAAAATTATATGCAGAAGGAAGCCTCCTCTGAACCACCTTGGGGTTGCCTTCTGCAGGAGAGAATACTATCTTATGACCAGGGATGGGGCAGTCAACATCATGGCATGGGAGTGATATGTGACATCTCATCTTCATCTCAAGCTGAAAAATACCTTGGTTACCCTTGTCATAATTTCTTATATTCTCTTCTAAGAGCGTCGTGCCATAATTTGGCTTTAGTGTTCCAACACCTTAGCTCTAAATCTCTTCTTCGCATCCCTTGGTCTTGGATACAGATCCTAGCACAGTGGTGGCGAACCTATGGCCCGGGTGCCAGAGGCGGCACTCAGAGCCCTCTCTGTGGGCACGCGTGCCGTCACCCCAGTCCTAGGCCTTCAGCTGGGTTTTATAAAACCTTTTCACTTTAGGCCTCTGCCACCGTGTGCAAAAAAAAAAAAAAGGTTCAATCAATCAGTCAATTTCAACTTCTCGTGGGGAAAAAAAAAATTGCAAAGTTGGAATTGATTGATTGAACTTTTTAGTCCCATCCAGTCTGCTGTTACCACCGCAGCCATGCCCAGCCAATGGGCCACACCCAGCCAATGGGCCACACCCACCCAGCACCCGATGATGCATAAGTTGGTTTTGAGTTGCAGTTTGGGCACTCGGTCTCTAAAAGGTTCGCCATCACTGTCCTAGCACCTGTCGAATACACTTCAGTTGCAAATGACTTTCTGTCATTCTCTGTACATGGCACTACATTCATAATCTTGTGATTAAAAAGTTTTGTCTGGGATCCATGTTCCTGGCTCCTTCTGAACGTCATAAAAGTATTTTATTTTGGGATTGATCTACATGACCCATCCCTTTTGCAGCAATAAAATGAAATAACAAATGGAGGTATTTGAAGTAGTGACAGAGGAATTATCAGGCATCAGGACAATAACAAGTTATGACATCTCTTTAGTCATTGGCTGCCTCAGAATATATTTCCAGCAAACTTACAAAGCTTGGCTTCTGATCAACCAGAGAGAAACTCATACTCTTTGGGTCTCTCTCTGTGTGCCATTTCCCTGTCTTCCCTGGCATTGATTTTAAATACAGAAGTATTTAAAGTATAGAAGTAACAATAATCTTCTGAAAAGACCACTGAGCTTATTACACTGGATTACCTGGTGTCTTTTTCTGTTCTGTTCTCCCTGTAAAAGCTACCTGAATATATATGTTTATTAGGCTTCTAAGGGATGTTAAATGTAACTTTATCTAGCATGAGATGGCTTAATGGAGTAGTTTTTTTTTAAGAAAAGAAAAATGTCACCATGACAACAGGGTTTTTCCCTGCTGATCATCCTTAGATGAAAATACGGTAAGGGAAACTTGGAAAATTTAATGTGAATCTTTGCTCTCAACCTCACACAAGCTTGGAATCACAAAAAATGATGGTTACTTAGACCACCATCAAAAGAGAGATTTTAGTGGATGTTGGTCAGGATTCCTAGTGGCACCCCCAGAGTAAAGGTAGAGGACTCTAGAGATTAATTGTTGGGCACGGGCCTCTAATAATCCATAATTGGGAGAAGTATTGTTGTCAGTCATCAAAGCAAGACGTGAAACTCTAAGGGAGGGATGTTTAAGACTTGTGGACTTCAACTCCCAGAATTCCCCAGCCAGCATGACTAAGATGTAAAACAGTCAGGGCTAGAATTTTCCATTTCTTTTTTTCAATTTTATTGTTTGAAGTATAATTTTTCAAAAGGATGAATACTCCCTCCAACTTAGGTGGTGCCTTCTCTTTTGGAAGATATTTGATGTTCTCATAAGAACTTGTATTTTCTTTTTTGTATTTTGTTGCCTGGTGCCAGTTTTTTGCTGCAAAGTTTTAACAAGCACAATCTCAAAGGGGGCAAAAGAGAGGAAATGTAGAAGCTGTATTCAACCATGATCACTTTCAAGTTTGTTTGTGACTTTCCCAGGGGTTCAGGCCAACCAAAGTGGTAAGGTAGATAGTTGCCTGAAGAGCGTAGCAAATGTCTTCATTTAAGTCTAGTTTAACAAAGAGAAGGATGAGGGGGGAAATGATAGCAGTCTTCCAATATCTCAGGGGCTGTCACAAAAAAGAATTGGGTGTCAAGCTATTCTCCAAAGCGCCTGAAGGCAGGACAAGAAGCAACGGGTGGAAACTAATCAAGGAGAGAAGCAACCTAGAACTAAGGAGAAACTTCCTGACAGTGAGAACAATTAACCAGTGGAACAACCTGCCTCCAGAAGCAGTGAATGCTTCAACACTGGAAGTTTTTAAGAAGAGACTGGACAGCCATTTGTCCGAGATGGTATAGGGTTTCCTGCCTGAGCAGGGGTTGGACTAGATGACCTCCAAGGTCCCTTCCAACTTTATTGTTGTTGTTGTTGTTGTTGTTGTTGTTGTTGTTGTTGTTATTATTATTATTATTATTATTATTATTATTATTATTATGATGTCAGTGTAGTACAAATATCTTAAATCTCTGGACAAATTTGCTGTGCTATACAGACTTGGCATTAGCAAACAACTAACTCATGAATCCAGGCTGGTCAGTGAAGCTGAAATGTGTAACCTCTGAAAAGAATCTAAAACATGCTTGAAAATGTGAAACCATATGCTAGGCATATGCAGACTTAAACCCCAAGCCCACCGACTCAGATCTAGGAACAGCTTTTTGGCAAGAGCAAACATTACTAAGGGTACACAAGAACAAATTTGAATTAAAAGATGGAGGAAGGAGACTACCAAGCAAGGAATAAGATTAAAGGAGGGTATGGTTGAAGAATCTGACCTCTGTTATACTACCTGGAGGACCCTGAATAGGTTGAGAGTTGGAGTGCCTAAATGTAAAGCCAATATGCTGAAGTGGAGACTCTTGGCAGATAACAATGTGCTATGTGAATGTAGAGAGACATAGAGCCTGGCCCATCTGCTAGTATGTCAGGTACTACCGGAAACATGTAAACACATACAGATAATGGCTTATTTTTGGTCAGTGACAAAGCCAAAGCCAGTGGCTTCATTCTAGCAATTTAAAGTTTGAGGAAGGTGAGGAGGGTGAGGAGGGTGAGGAGAAGAAGGAGAAGGAGAAGGAGGAGGAGAAGGAGAAGGAGAAGGAGAAGGAGAAGAAGGAGAAGAAGAAGAAGAAGAAGAAGAAGAAGAAGAAGAAGAAGAAGAAGAAGAAGAAGAAGAAGAAGAAGAAGAAGAAGAAGAAGAAGAAGAAGAAGAAGAAGAAGAAGAAGAAGAAGAAGAAGAAGAAGAAGAAGAGGAAGGAAGGAAGGAAGGAAGGAAGGAAGGAAGGAAGGAAGGAAGGAAGGAAGGAAGGATAGCCTTCTGCAATTTTTTTGCTCTCCAGAAAGAGTGTATGTTAGTTCTTATAATGCCAGGTTGTGAATTACACTTCTGGGAAGCCCAGGTGATGAAGGTGAGGTGGCGGACAGCGAGAAGTCTCTGAAAGAATTATAATCTCACTATATACTATTGCCACCGTTAATTCACCATATATGGACCCATCCTTCCAGCTTCTGTGCAAACGGCATACATATTTACATTAAAGATTAAGAAGGCAAAGAATATTATGTTTTGGTATGGTTTGTAAATGTTGTAAGTCCCGCAGAGTCACTATTGTGAAATGGCAGCCACATAAATCCAATCAATAAATAAACAAATGTGTGAAGCAACAGATATACATTGGTGAAAGGGGAAAAGAAAAGAACTCAGAAAGCATAAAACACCCCAAATCATTTGACTTGCCCCATATAGGTCCTTGCAGGCTGAGCTGCTGACCAGACTCACCTTCGCATTCTGGCTGAGTGCCACTCCATGATCCATTGGCTTGACAGATTCTTTGCAGTGAGCCCCGGAGCGTGTAACCCGGCTCACAGCTAAACCAGACCGTGCTGTTCACACTTAATTCGTTTTCACCATGCCGGATACCATGGGAAGGGATTCCAGGATCACCACAAAGTCCCCGGATGCTTCCTGCCGAAGGAAAGCAGAAGTTCTGACATTGGCACAAGCAATGCTACCCACTGGTTTTGGAGCAAAGCAAGGAAGCAAACAAACAAACAAACAAACAAATAAAGAAATAACAATCTAAAGAATAAAATAAAACAAATAGCATTCCCTAGGGATAGAATCAAGATCACGTGAAGTATTAATAACACTTTACAAGGCCTTGGTAAGGCCACACTTGGAATACGGCATCCAGTTTTGGTCACCACGATGTAAAAAAGATGTTGAGACTCTGGAGAGAGTACAGAGAAGAGCAACAAAGAGGATCAGGGGACTGGAGGCCAAAGCATATAAGGAACGGCTGCTGGAATTGGGTATGTCTAGTTTCACGAAGAGAAGGACGAGGGGGGACAGGATAGCAGTCTTCCAATATCTCAGGGGTTCCTACAAAGATGTAGAAAAGATGCTGAGACACTAGAAAGAGTACAGAGAAGAGCAACAAAGATGATTAGGGGACTGGAGGCTAAAATATATAAGGGACGGTTGCTGGAATTGGGTATGTCTAGTTTAATGAAAAGAAGGACGAGGGGGGACATGATAGCAGTCTTCCAATATCTCAGGGGTTGCCCCAAAGAAGAGGGAGTCAAGCTATTCTCCAAAGTGCCTGAAGGCAGGACAAGGAGCAATGGGTGGAAGCTAACCAAGGAGAGAAGCAACCTAGAACGAAAGAGAAACTTCCTGACAGTGAGAACAATTAACCAGTGGAACAACCTGCCTCCAGAAGCGGTTAATACTCCAACACTGGAATTTTTTTAGAAGAGACTGGACGGCCATTTGTCCGAAATGGTGTAGGGTTTCCTGCCCGAGCAGGGGGTTGGACGTGGCATCCGTGGTTCAAATCTATCTAAAACAATCTCTTCAGTAACCCTTGGGACAATTCCAAGCAGATGTACGCAGCAACTGCTAACCCTGTTTACATCTTTTTCCCTCTGGTTTGGTTTGCCAATTCTGGTCTTTTTCAAAGGGGAAATTACAAGGTGTTTCAAGGCCACCTGTTAGCTTTGCAGAAACAGAGCGGCTGGCTTTGTTGGGAACAGAGAAGTGGTGCTCCAGTGAGCCAGTAAGTCATTTCCTCTACAGTCAAAAGGGAAGTGTGTATGCAAGGAAGCCATTTTGAATGAGTGATTTGACAGCTGGAAAGTGCCCGCTCCTTTAGTCATGTGGTGACCATCTGTTATTGCCTCTTTCCACCAATCATTTTAAAAAAAAATGCAGTTTTCCAAAACAAGTCTGGTGCGTTGCTTGTGTGGGAGACACAATTTTGTTTTAATCTCTTTTTGGACATGAATAGAATCGAGCTGTACATCTTCTCTATGTAAAGCACCACCCATGGGCCACATTTTTTTTCTCTCTCCAAACCGACTTTGCAAATCATTTTTCTGACTGGATACCTAATAAGAACTTCTTTTTTTAAAAAAAAAAAAAAAATCTTCTATGTGAAAAGGTTTTCTTATAAACAAAGCAGGAAGTACACCTTCAGGTTTTTAATGGGTGAGTGCTGGCATCAAAAAGTGGTGCAAAATTAATTAGATCCCAACCCTGCTGTGAAACTCTCCACAGCCTACATCACATGCTGAATTATTCACTTATTTAACAGTGGAAAAATCTTACAGTTTCAACATCCTTAATTGTAGTCCAAAGTGAATGTCAGCTGCCTATCTTCACCTTTTTTGAAGCTTGCTCGCAATTGCCATAAGGGGGGGGGTAGGGGGCACTTGGGAGTGGAAGAGTGATGGAGGTGTGAAGGAATCTTGTGGGAAATTAGGAAGTATGGACACTGACAGAAACCAAAAGTCATCTCTCCTCCTTTTCAAGGACACCGGTCCTGGGAAAGGAATTTGCTGTGGCGCCAGAGATACCATGTTCCCAAAACATCAGAACAAGACCTGATTGGACTACTCTTCCAGGGGGGAAGGTTCTGGACATTGGGGATTGCTTTCAACATATCATTTTTGCATGGTTTTTCTTCAGAGCCTGCTCGCTCAGGCTGCACTCAACATCTCTAGTAAAAGTATATTTTCTCTAACACCTATGGAGCCAAGGGTCATTCTTTCCTAGGGTGCAAGTTGGGGCCAGTCTGACAGTGAAGTCCACGAGTCATAAAAGAGCCAAGGTTGCCTACCCTTGACCTAGGCCAGGGGTAGGCAACCTTGGCTCTTTTATGACTCGTGGACTTCAACTCCCAGAATGCCTGAGCCAGACGAGTCATAAAAGAGCCAAGGTTGCCTACCCCTGACCTAGGCCTATTCCAAAGCATAATTTCCTTGAAATCCAGATTGTTTTATACAACCTTACTGAGCAATACTATTTAAAGAGATGAGGATAAATCAACCCACATGCCCCCACGTTGGTACCCATGTCTTTTGCCACTCAGTTTTCTTACCTGAGCAATGAGGTAGAGATCCACTCCAACGCCCATCAAGCTGACACGTGCGGGTGGAATTGCCAATCAAATTCCTGCCTTCCTGGCATTTGTAGTGCACCACTGCTCCTACGGTGTGGACATCACCCAAGATCTGGGCATAAGGTGGGGATCCAGGATGGCCACAGGAGACCACTGAAACAAAAGAGCACCAAGTTTTCACTTCAACCTGAACTAAAGTTGTATCTTTCTTTCTTTCTTTCTTTCTTTCTTTCTTTCTTTCTTTCTTTCTTTCTTTCTTTCTTTCTTTCTTTCTTTCTTTCTTTTTTTCTTTCTTTCTTTCTTTCTTTTCTCTCTCTCTCTCTCTCTCTCTCTTTCTTTTTTCATTCTCTCGCTCTCTCCCTTGCTCTCTCTCTCCATCCACTTTCTATATTGCCACAATTGTATTGCTTTGACTGACATGTCAAAGGCCACATTCTAACAACTGCCTTGCTTAGCAGTGGAAATTCTGGTTCTAATTGTGGTGGTGCATAGAGGACTATCTGTACTTCCTTGTTCTCCTGGAAATCTTCATCTGGGGACAAGACAAAGCTTCCCACTCTGTTCCAAGCACTTATTATTTTCTGCAGTAATTCCTTTATAAAACCACTTTTACTGATTTTCTCTCATTCTACTCATCAGAAACTTCCAAACTCACTTCAATATATTGTGTAAGATCTATGTTTGGTCAAAAGCTGGCCCAGGGGTATAAGCCAGTTAAACATGTGGTGATGGAAGTCTCCACCACATCAATGGAGCATGAAAAAGAAGGCCAGGTCTTTGTTTCTTTGGGGCTCAATGGCATCATTTTAGCAGGACTGCCTGTCAATAACTGCTCCTTTGCGCCTTGTAAGATCATGGATGTGTCATCAGTGATATTGTCAACTTGTCTCCTCTTGTCATTTTTTATTATTGTCTTCTATTTTCCAACCTTTGTGTTCCTGCACACTGCAAAGCACTTTTTCCCCCAAACACTTTGCACAAGACTCTACATTTAGCTAATTGAAATATTCTAATTACACCCTTGTTTTTTTTCTTAAAATGTCCTGCTTGTTTATGTCCAAGCTGGATTTCTAATTTTTTCCCCTAGATATTTCACTTGAGATAAGTTCTTAGGGTAGCTCCAGTGCCTAAGACGGCAACTATTTAAGGTTACTTGTACAACAATCCCCTAATTACAGCAAAATGGGCCTCATGTATCACTTTTCCACGGTGACAAGATGGAAATGCCAACAATACAGGGAAAACAGACTGTGCTGAAGAAATTAAATTAAAAAGACATTTGCTTCTTTAATTGCTTTAAGAGAAGGAAAGAGAGGCGTAACACTTAAACTAAACTACCTTGTACTTTAAATGTGCAAAACCTGGGCCTTCCACGTCTTGATAAATATAAGGCTGGTGTCTTCCCTTGAGCTGTAACATTTCTCTGAAAGTCATTAGTCATATTAATTAGCAGACTGATGGTGTGACCAATATCTACCCTTGGAGAAACTCTCCTATTTAGGCCGATATTCTGTCTTGAATTATTCCCCAGACTTCCTAAGGATGCTTGAAGAATTCAGGCTTAGCTAATTGTGTTAAGAGCTGATTTGAGACAGACTGTTTGATGAACATATAAACTGGATTTTAATTCCACTGATTTTTTTTCTCTTGTTACTTTAAGTGCAGATGAATGTACTCATTTAAATGAGACAGAGTTGTGGATTAAAGACATTGGAAAGAGATAAAGATGAGAAACACAGAGAGGCATTTCACCCTAAATTCTACTCTTTTTTTTTTTTGGTCAATAGCTGCAGAGTTTTAAGGCATATGCTGGCCCCATTCGTGTAATTTTAGAGGTGGAATTCATCTCTGATCTTCTCTTCCTTGCTTTCTGTGGAAGTATAACCATAGTTGATTTCTGTTTTAGCTGGCACAAGAAGGGGGTTAAGGAGCTCTGAAACCTCTCCTCCAAATATTGCATTCACCACATCAAAATGACCCTGTGTGGCTTTCTTTGGGAGTTCAAAGTCGTCTATATGAGAGTATTTCCAAAACTTCTCCTCACGACCACTATCTAGTGAAGGGAGAGAGGATTAATAGGTTGTGAAAGAGTCATTCATTGAGATCAAATGGGGACTTAAAAATGAGTCTCTGGCAGACTTCAAAAACACTTTCCGAACTCTTTGAAACTAAAGCAAGCTGGGAGCTGCAAGAATCAGGGAATATTGCTGGACCATAAGTCCCAGAATTTCTCATCATTGGCCGGGCTTCCTGCGAGTGGTTTCACAACATTGGAAGTGGACCTCCAGGATGATGAGGTTGCCAACCACAGACAAAGAGAGAGGAGAGGGATACCCAATTCCAGCAGCCTTTCCTTATATGCTTTAGCCTCCAGTCCCCTAATCATCTTTGTTGCTCTTCTCTGTACTCTTTCTAGAGCCTCAACATCTTTTTTAAATCGTGGTGACCAAAACTGGATGCAGTAGTCCAAGTGTGGCCTTACCAAGGCATTGTAAAGTGGTATTAACACTTCACGTGATCTTGATTCTATCCCTCTGTTAATGCAGCCCAGCACTGTGTTGGCTTTTTTGGCAGCTGCAGCACACGGCTGGCTCATATTTAAGTGACTGTCCACTAGGACTCCGAGATCTGAGATATTGTTATAGGGAAAATAGAAGGAGGAAGATGTGTTGGGTATTTTTGCTGCCTTGAGTTATTTGTAAAAAGGTGGAATACAAACAAATACAAATCAGTAGATACTTTGGGTCTCTGCTTAAGAGTCTGGAAGGTTGGCATAAGCTGTGGAGTTTCCCTTTCCCCCTTTTCATGGGGCCAAGAAGAGAGCAGTTGCAATCTCAAAAGAGCCTTTAAATCAGGGGTAGTCAACTTGGCTCAGGAATTCTGGGAATTGAAGTCCACGAGTCATAAAAGAGCCAAGGTTGACTACCCCTGCTTTAAATGATACATTCGCTTTCTGAACTGAATGGAAATCAAAGCAAAAGGAAAGCAAGGAACTTACTATGACAGACAGGGAGAGGCCGGTCCCAAATGCCATCACCCTGACATGCGAGCACATGAGTCCCCAGTAAATAATATCCACGGTTGCATTGATAAGAGACGGTTGTTCCAAAACTATATCGGTGAGGCCCACTTGGTTGCACTTGACGGACGCTGTTCTCCAGGTGCCCAGGATCAGTACAATTTACAACTGCAAGCAAATCACAGAAGATAAAAAGAATATTAACCCCCAAAAAATGAGAGAAATCGTTACCAAGAAGGAAAAGAATCTCATCTTTTCCCTTCCATTTTAAAAAATAACATGGGAGGACAATATATCAAATCAGGGGTATCTGTGAGTGTGAGCAAAAAGTGCCGCCTCTTTTTCATATGTGTCATCTACGTGACACACATCAAAAAGGGGTAGGGCTCTGATTATGTGGTTGCAGCAGCCCTCTTGACTTTTTAAATCCTTCCCACCGATGCCACTGGATCAAATCCTTGTGTGAACATTTCCCACCATTTGGTTCTCCCCTGTGATGGAACATCGCCTGGATTCCCAAAAAGACAGTGAAGCTTCTCCTTAGGAGTACTCAGAGTGTATCCTTAATGGCGCAAGTAGTAGCTTTAGTTTGACAAGATTTCTGTCTAATGATGAGGAAATATGTCGGTTTTGTTTTTCAAAGTCTGACATCCTCTCCCTCTCCCCCTATTCTCGAGATAGAGTGGGAGGGAGGGAGGGAGGGAGGGAGGTAGAGGGAGAGAGAGAGAGAGAGAGGGAGAGGGAGAGAGAGAGAGGGGGGGGAGGGAGGGAGGGACAGAGGGGGGGAGGGAGACCTAGTTTTTGTTAAAATGAATTACTCAAGTTCTGGCTATATCAATCCTAGTCTAGCAAAAGCAAGGCACTCTTTGCAACCCAGAAGAATTTAGAAATTGAAATCTACTTGAGCTCTTTATGCAAGAATCCACATCAGTCTCACCCAGTTCAGTGTTTTGGTCTGGGACCTACTATTGCCAACTATATTTATGTATTGTTGCCATGCATCTACAGTATATATATATTCTTTTCTATTGTACTGATGAGAGTTGAGTCATTGATGAAGCAAAACTAAACAATACTCTGGGTCAGGGGTCCCCAACCTTGGCCACTTTATGACTTGTGGACTTCAACTCCCAGAATTCCTCAGCCAGCATGGAGTTGAAAGTCCACAAGTCATAAAGTGCTCAAGGTTGGGGATCTCTGCTCTAGGTTCTTTATGCCTTTCGCTGCCCTCATTTAAATAATGGCTGAAACATTACAATTATGCATTTTGGGCGGACTTTAATTCATTTCGTTTCTGTTTTTATGGTTTTACAGTTTTATGGGGATTGCGAGCCACCCAGAGTTGTGATTTAAGACGGGCAGCCAGGCAAGTCTTTCAAACGAAATAAAGAACGTTATAATGCGATTTTAGTTTTAATCATCAGCAAGCTGTTAGGCTGGGAGCTTTCTTTTTATCTACGCTTTCCACACGACACTGAAGCTGAACTGTGCTGAGCTGCAGACCCTGCTTTCTTTTCAAGAATCTGCTGGGACATGTTGAAAAGAAGCACAGCCGGGATACGCTGATGGCGCTTCCATCACAAGAGGATTCTGCTCCAGGCTGTAGAACAGATTTAGATTGCAGAAATAATAAAAGGGGGGGGAGAGAAGGAGGGGGATAGAGAAACACAACTTACTGCGACAGATGGGCAAGGGTTTACTCCACTGGCCGTTCGCCAAGCATTGGGACTTGGAAGTCCCTTCAAGGTGATATCCAATGTTGCATGTAAACTTGGCCACATCGTTGAGATTGAACTGAGTGCCTTGGGTCAGGCCATTTGTTGGGTTGCCTGGGTGACCACAGGTGATGGCTGCAGAGAGAAGGCGAGGTATTACATCCCTGCCTTGTTCCCCGGCTCAAGGACATAGAAATGCCAACTACAATAGAATGAAGCGCGACCGGTGAGATTTCTCCCAGGTCTGCCCGTCTTCTAGCAGCATCTGATTTCTTTGCAAGCCATACTATGAAAGCCGCCCTTTCCCCTTTCTAGGCTGACCCTTAGCTAAGCTTAGCCGCAGGTTTTTAAAGGTTGGGAAAGGAGTCCCAGAGGTGGTTTTTTTTTTTCTTTCAAAAAGCCAACTGGACTTCTTTGGT